TCTTCCTATGTAAGTAAACTTCATGAACCTCTAAAGAGGAGAAATATAGTAGGCAACTGATTCTGCAACTTATTTGACCACGGATGCCATTTTCTACCCATAGAACACAGCATACAACCAATGAGAAATGTCTTCTTCAAAGTTGTTTTCTAGAGCCTTGTCTTGCCTCCCCAGAATTTCTTACCTCAGTGCCACCAGAAGGATCTTCCTAAAATTTGATCAGGTTATGTAGCCCCTCAGCTTATATCCCTTCAGTGGTTCCTTTCTGCCAGTCTGATCAAGCTCACTATTTAGCATGGCCTAAAGGACCTCAATAACCTATACAGATCAGTTCTTAACTCACCTGGAATGTTATACTCCCAAGTTGTAGTTTAAATCCTCTTCTCATCCCTACACACCTGAAAGATGTCACAAACTCACATATTTTAATAGTGGGGTGGGGAGTGGCAGGAGTTCCTCAAAATTAAGTATCAAAGTAAAAGGGTCTATGACAGACAATTTTTTCTTAAATGGCTATAGCAATATTTCTAGTTCCACCTGGTCTTCCCAGGCTTCTCAGAGCTCTGAAATGAAATGATTTATTGCTTTTGTCCCATGTTCTCATCTATCTATGACAAATAATCCTTCAGTAAAAATGTATACTGAACCATTCCATTTAAATATGTGAATCTAGTTCTGTATATCTAGTATATCTGTCCCCAGTGGTCTCTAGGTATAGATTTGCATGGATATAGCTTGAGAAATAACCTCTAGTTTTTTGTTTTTATTATTTTTTAAAACACCTCACCCCCTAAAAAAGCCTTCTGAGCCTGCAGACAACACAAAAACAGAGCAAATACTGAATCTGGCCCATAGGTCACCATTTGCTGACTCTTAAATGAGAAGAAAGCACAATCCAGGACAGTCAAGCTTGCTCACAATGAATGCTGCCACAGAACATGGAAGGAATATGAAGGATGTTCTGTGTGTAAAGACTGTGGAAGCCAAGAACATGGTGGCCAAATGGGCTCTAACAGACTAGTTGAAGTCTGGCAGCACAACAGCCAGGCAAGAGGGAAGTAATGTTTCCAGGTGATACCAATGATTGGGACAGAGAGGTGGGGTATTATTTCCAGGTGCTGGTAACATCCAGGAAAAAAATAGAAAACATATAATCCAGAAGACCAGCTATCAATGTATCCCACACAGCATCATCCTATGCTGATACCCCATACTCTGAAAACATTACCAAGTCCAGCTGCAGAAATTATAGCATTCCCTCATCATGGGTAACTTGGGTCAGCAGAGAATATAAATCAATGGTAGAGAATCTCTCATGAAAATGAGCTCACTATCAGCAATCCAGCTGGACACTTGAGGAATGCAAACATATTTATTTACTTATTTATTGTATTTTTGTTTTGTTTTTTTAGTTGGAATCTCACTCCGTCACCCAGGCTAGAGTGCAGTGGCACACTCACAGCCACCCCAGCACTGACTTGCTGGGTTCTGGTGATCCTTCCGCCTCAGATTCCAAGTAGTCAGCACTACAGGCACACGCTACCTCACCTGGCTAGTTTTTCAATTTTTATTGTAGAGATGAGGGCTCACCATGCTGCCCAGGCTGGTCTTGAACCCACGGGTTCAGGCAATCCTCTCGCCTCGGCCTCCTAAAGGGCTGAGATTACAGGCTTGAGCCACCTCGCCAGCCGGGAGGAATGCAAATTTAAAAGGTGATGAACAATTTGCAAAGGAGAAGCCATAGAGCAAACATAAAAACAGCATTAAAAATAATTGCTGGCACTGTGGCTCAAGCCTGTAATCCCAGCACTTTGGGAGGCTGAGGTGAGAGGATTGCCTGAACCCGTGGGTTCAAGACCAGCCTGGGCAGCATGGTGAGCCCTCGTCTCTACAATAAAAATTGAAAAACTAGCCAGGTGTGGTAGCACGTGCCTGTCGTGCCGACTACTTGGAACCTGAGGCGGAAGGATTGCCTGAACCCAGCAGGTCGAGGCTGCGGTGGCTGTGAGCAATATGCCATGCCACTGCACTCTAGCCTGGGAGACAGAGTAAGACTCCAATTCAAAAAATAAAAAAATAAAATAAAACAAAAATTGCTACCTTTGGAAAGATTAAAAAAAGTAAAACCATGAAATGAAAGAACTATTATAAAAATCCAACCATATTCTAAAAATAAATTTTAAAATTATATATAATAGATAAAATTATTTATATAGAATATATATTATTTAAATAAATACATAATTATTGAAATAAACATCTATTAGAAGGACTAAATATACAACCTGATGTATAAGTTTTAAGAAATATCTGTAATAGAGAAAATATACCAGAATTACAGCACAAAAGGATGAACAAATGAAGGGAACAAAAGAACTACTAAGAGATAGATGAATCCAACTGGAAGTTTCATTTAAAATAAGTTCCAAAAGAAGAGAACAGAAAGAACAGTAGAAAGGCAATATTTGAAGAAAGAGCTGAGAACTACCTAGAATTAAAACCCAGTAAGCCGGGAGCGGTGGCTCCTGCCTGTAATCCCAGCACTTTGGGAGGCAGAGGTGAGAGGACTGGCTGAGCACAGGGGTTTGAGACTAACCTGGACAATTTGGTGAGACCTCATCTCTACAATAAATCAAAAAACTAGTTGAGTGTGGTGGCTCGCACCTGTAGTTCCAGCTACTTTGAAGGCTAAGGCAGAAGAATCACCTGACCCAAGCAGGTCAAGGCTGCAATGGCCATGAGTGTGCCACTGCACTCCAGCCTGGGTAACAGAGTGAGACTCCAACTCAGAAAAAAACCAAAAGACAGATGGGCAGAAAAGTATATTAACTACTAATTAGGATAAGTAAGAAAAACATACATATGAATGCACATGCATATATCTCTTGACAGATAAAGTGAAATTTCATTAATATCTAAGTAAAAAGAAATAACATGTAACTAGAAAAAAATATTAGAAAATAAAGGATTAAGAAAATAATATACTTCTAGCAGCAATTTTGGGTATAAGATAACAATGCAGCAGTATTCTGAAAGGCCTTTAAAAAGAAAGAATTTTGTACCCAGAAATTTACATCTGGCTAAACTAACTTGCATTTAACATTGGCAACAAAAGGACATTTTTGGACACGCAAACACAAAGTTTGCCACCAAAGTTTACCAACATGGATGTACTTCAGCAAGGAAAAAGAAATGATTCAAGATAGTAGTGATAAACAAGAAGAATTGTTGAGAAAATGTTTACAGTATTTTGTTTCACAAATAAGTGAGCAAGGAAAATGTGATTTACTAACAATCTAAGAAGTTAAAGAAAAGACAATGTGAGAAGTGGGAATCTGAGGAAAGTAAACATATCAAAACATTCTTATTTGGGAAGAAGTAACCTAGAAACTGATTTTTTTTCCTTTAAAAATTAATGTCTTGAGCCGGGCTTGGTGGCTCAGCCTGTAATCCCGCGCCTTTGGGAGGCTGAGGTGAGTGGATTGCTGAGCCCGCGGGTTCGAGACCTGCCTGGGCAGGCGAGACCTCATCTCTACAGTAAATCAAAAACTAGCCGGGCATGGTAGCGGGCACCTGTAGTTCCAGCTACTTGGAAGGCTGAGGCGGAAGGATCGCCGGAGCCCATCAGGTCGAGGCTGCAGTGGCCGGGAGCGGCCATTGCACTCCAGTCTGGGCGACAGAGTGAGACGCCAACTCAAAAAAAAAAAAAATTAATGTCTTGAAATTTAAAATTAGTAATTCAAAGAACAAACCAGTAGAGGGAAAAAATAAAACAAACAGATACACAGACACAGAAGAAGGAAGTGGAAGACCGTGGAACTGCTCATGGTTTTCCTTCTGTGTTTAGGCAGGTCCAAATGCCCTATTTGTTCCTCCTTAGTCTGAATATTGCTGCCATCTAAATCTTTCATACAATCTTTACTTTTCTTCTTGTCCCCAACCAGGATCCCACCACATACTGATCACATTTTTTTTTTGAGTTGAAGTCTTACTCTGTCACCCAGGCTAGAATGCAGTAGCCTGCTCAGGGCTACCGCGGCCTCGATGTGCTGAGTTCAGGTGATCCTTCCACCTCAGCCTTCCAAGTAGCTGGAACTACAGGCATGTGCCACTGCACTCGGCTAATTTTTTGATTTATTGTAGAGAAGGGCTCTTGCCAAGTTGCCCAGGCTTGTCTCGAACCCGTGGGCTCAGGCAATTCTCTCACCCCAGCCTCCCAAAGTGCTGGGATTATAGGCATGAGCAACCGTGCCTGGCCGTGAACAAATTTATATTGTAACATTGATAATTCTTTATTATGTTTGATGTTCATAAATCAATCTTATTCATGCGACATAAATTTTTCAGAACTAGAACAGTCTCCTTCTCATTTCTATATCCCTTACTACATCATAGTTACTCACTGTTTGTTGATTGGATATAGATAGAGGCAATTTTTACATACAAGTATCCATTGGATTGCATATGACCAAGGTTATAAATTATTTGTTGCAAGAGAGTAACCATGTCTAAGTTGCTATTGCATTTCTAATAAAGTCATTATTGGATCTTTTTGCTAAGTTTAGAAGTCAACTTAAGCTGGGCACGGTGGCTCATGCCTGTAATCCCAGCACTTTGGGAGGCAGAGGCAAGAGGACTGCCCGAGTCCAGGGGTTTGAGATCAGCCTGGGCAACACGGGGAGATGTCATCTCTACAAGAAATAAAAAAATTTCATGGGTGTGGTGGTGCACACCTGTAGTTCCAGCTACTTGGAAGGCTGAGCCAGAAAGATCCCCTGAACCCAGCAGGTAGAGGCTGCGGTGGCCGTGAGCATGCCACTGCACTCCAGCCTGTGTAACAGAGTGAGACTCCAATTCAAAAAAAAAAAAGAAGTCAACTTAAGAAGTCAGGATGCAGGAGGATGGACAAGACAATATTATGGTATCTTCCATCTCCAGTTCACAGTTTAGAGAATAACTGAGAGACACTTAGACTAATTGTCCCTGAAATTGCACTATACCTCCAGAAGCTCTATGTCTTCATGGTTTGCAGACTCAGGGGTATTCTCCATCAATATGGCAGACATCACTCGCACGTTCATTTTCACCATATCCAATTCACTGTGCAATTTTCCAATCTGTAGACAGCAACACAATTACCAGTCAATAAGTGACAAAGAATATCTACCTTGCTTCCTGTTCCCACAGGACATCTGCTGGAAGAGAAAATGCTTTTGCAAAATTTAATATTTTCAAGCTCACACTAAACTTTACATAAATATACATGTAATTATTTTACAAAAATGTATCCTATTGCCATCTAAAAAAGCCAAAAACATGCTTTAGGAATTTTTAAAATGAAGGAAAAAATAAAGATTAGAATCAACATGGAGAAGGGAGATGGTACTAGGTACCTGGCAGAAGAAGGTACTAAGAACCTGGACAAAATAGCAAATGTTACTATGTGTTTCTTGGCAATCAATGGGAAAAAAGAAAAAAAAAAGAGGGTTATATAGTTTGGTGGTATTACAGAAGAAAGAATAAAGAGAGAAACACTTTTTTTCCCCTGGGTTAAATTCTAAGAGAAATTAATAATATGAACTTTTATATAGGAAAAACTGAATAATAATATAAAATCTCCAGTGATAGTTTCCTTATAGCAGGACAGAGACATAAGCCTCATATAATAATTGCTTATCTGGACCTTAGATAAACAGATATAGACAAAGCAGTAAATGTAATTCAATTAGCACAATTATTGTAAATAATAAGACTACCACTTAATGAACTCTCTGAAATGATACACAGACAGTCCTACCAGAAACAGCAGAAATCAGTTGATGAACACAAGAGGCCACCAGCTATGGCTCCACAAAGTCATGAAAGCCACTAGCCAAGCAACTCTTAACAAGCTTGGGCTTTGGAATCAGACAGAAACTATGAGATTAATTCTACACAGTATCACTAAACCTCAGTCTCCTTTGTAAAATGAGTGTACCTACACCTCATAACATTGCTAACAAGAAAAGAAAAACTAGATATAAAAAGCTTACAACTTAGAAAAAGACATCAATAAGTACAATTGTTGCTGTTGTTACCTGTTCCGGGACCAATGTAATAGTCGAGTTCTTAGGAGCGATTACAGAAGAAAGAGCAGGTGCAGTAGGGACAGATGATGGTGGATTTGATGAGATCTGAGCAGTCTATCAGTATGAAATATGGAAATATTGTTATTTGGATGAACATAGCCACTCCATGTACAGTTTTTCTCATTTAGCTGACTCAAGCCCTCTCAACCAAAGTCCTGGGTATAAGGTGTTAACTCAGAGTAAGTACACAGCCTGTCCAGCATCTTGAGAAGAGGGCTAAGCAAATGAGATGTCCATAATGGAGCAGATTTTTAAAATAAAAACTGGCTAGAATTAGGATTATTAGCAGAATTACAATTTAGTAAAATGTTCTTTGTTTTTAACAAGGGTCTATGTGATAAACTGCCATATGAAAGTATTGCTAGCCTCTCTTTGGGTTATTAAAAAATGGTAAATTAGTTCATGTCAAGTCTTTTTAAGCCACAGCTGGGAAAGCATCTCCTTCTGCACCACTGAACGCCTCCCTGAGTCAATGCCTCATCTCCACCTTGGGGAGAGAGCCCAAAACTCGGGACTCTAGACTTCTCAACATTAATGTGCAGAAAAAACACCCAGAAATCTTGTGAGAAAGGGAGATTCTGATTGGTCTAGAGTGGAACGTGCCAAAAAAGCTCCCAGATTTTACCCTAAACCACACTTTATGTAGCAAAACCCTAATCCTTGGCTATGCTACAGGATATTGCAACATTCTTCTAATAAATTAATCTTTTCGTTTAAGCTGAGTGGAACTAGGGTTGGCTTTTACACTGAAAAGAGACCCAAGTAATATACTATCATACTCTCCATGGGTCAAAGAAAAGTCTCCTACCTCTTGTCTTGCTGTTTCAGCCTCTGCATCTGTGGTAAGAAACTGGACACCTTTCTTAAGCAGGTCAAGGTATACTTCTTTCACTTCACTTACATCCACACCTCCCGGGAAACCCTGTGACCAAGTCTGAATTCAAGATATGAAAAGTTCCAGAGTTTAAACAGCAGTAAATCCACAACACAACTCTTAAGCTCATGACAGAAAATGAGAGACTGACAATGATATACCTTACTCAGAAAGAGAAAGTTACTTTTGAATGCCATGGAAAAATGTTCATTTAAAAAAAAATCATTTTTTTTACAACATTAGGATAACATTATAAAACATTTTATTTATTTATTTTTTAGTTGGAGTCTCACTTCATTGCCCAGGCTAGAGTGCAGTGGCAGGCTCACAGTCACCCCAGCGTTGACCTGCTGGGCTCAGGTGATCATGCCACCTCAGTCTTCCAAGTAGCCAAAACCACGTCCAGCTAATTTTTTGATTTATTATATAGATGAGGTCTTGCCAAGTTGCCAAGGCTGTCCTCGAACCCATGGGTTCAGGCAATCCCCTCACCTCGTCCTCCCAAAGTGCTGGGATTACAGGCTTGAGCCACTGCGTCCATCCTATAAAATATTTTAAATCAGATTCCCATGCTTCAACAGCTTGATGAAACCCTGGGATAGATATCTACCAATTGTTTTTGCTGTACTGAATCAAAAAAGAATAGATAGATTATAAAATAGCACTAGTTGCTCTTTTGCAAAGTAACCTTGAAGTAGTCAGTTACCTACTCCAGGACATGGTTTCCATACTAGCAAAATGAACATGCATATCACTGTCTTTCCTCCTGACTTGGATAAAATAGAAACTGAGAGGAAAGTAGGGAAATGACTACAAATTCTTCAGAAAAAGGGCACCATCCGACGCCAAGAAATTATCTTTACACTGAAACTAAAATAGTAAAAATGTTTTCTGGCTCAGTCTTAGGTTCATAAAAGATTACTGAAACAATCAGGAAGTATGCTATTAAATCCCTAACCTGAGAAATTAATTATTCCATGAGATACACAACAGACTTACCTTAATGAAATTCAAAATTCTATTCTGAACATCTAATGGCAAGTTGTATCTGGGATTCAGCAGCTTAACCAGACTCTCTTTAACAAATTCCTTCTTCACAATCAGAGTCTGGAAACTTGGACCACAGTTCTGCACGCACATGTCAATAAGCTAGAGAAAAATTATACGTTATATTTCTCTAGCAAGATCATCTCCTACATAAAAGGCAATAATTGCTAAATAATGATTTCTACCAGCATTCTAATTAACAAGCATAATTTAGTATTTAAAAGATGTTCAGTTCTGGGGACATTTAGTATTTCACCCTCCATGTTCAGTTCTGGGGACATGTGGAAGCTTAATGTAACTGCCTAGAGGATGGACTTATGGGGGCATCCCAACACAATCAGAAGAGCATTCACAGCAATACAAGGTAGTAAATGCCAAGTGCCAAAGGGAAGTACAAGCAAAAAATATGGGTTATGGACAGGGTAGCATCCATAGCTCATATGTTTCCATGGTGCAAAATCCAAAACATATTAAGATGACGTCCCAGTTTATCCAGAGTAGTGCAGGTATATTTCTGATGTCCTGACTTTAACAATGATGACACACCCTTTCAATTTCAAAAATGTCCTGGTTTGGATGATAAATTACAGTCACCCTAGCTATAGATCTTTATAGGCAAATGTGATTATTTAGGGTCAGGTGATCTTGTAAGACTTCTGGAAAAGGGTGGCCTTAAGCTGAGCTATGAAAAATGCTAAGAAAAGTAAAAATGAGAATAGAGCTATATTCTAGACAGAAAAACAGTATGAAAAATATATCCAGGTAGCAAAGTAGATGAGTTATGAGGGGAGAGATACTCTGGTTTGTCTCCAGTGGATGCTTTGATATAGACAAATTGAGGACACTGGGAGGTAGAGTGGATAAAGTCTGTCGAGGCATCATCCACACTATAGAGAAATTTGTATGGTGGTGTACAGAGTTTGGACATTATCCTGAAAGCACTAAGAAGCCACTGAGTGATTTTTGTTCATTTGTGACTGACACACCTCTACTTTTAACTTGAGGAAAACGTTAATGTAAAATTCTGAATAGGTTGTCAAGGCAGCACTCTACAAAGGGAAATGGAGGGTGAAAAATCCTGAAATAATAGAAAGATCCAGTAGGGACCCACTAGTACAGGCTTGATGTAGAAAAGACCTAAACTAATATGATATGGGTGAAAGTCATGAGAAAAAACATGAGGCAAGAACTTTGAATGACTGAGTGCTTGTTGGAGAAGGAAGATGACTAGAAGTTATGTGGCTTTCATTCAGCATGAGATTGAGGGCACTTGTGATGGAAATTTGGCAGTAAGTGAATCCATATGACTAGTCTAGGAGTCAAAATGATGGGTTGACATTTAGGCATTTTGAGTTCAAAAGGACAGTGGGACATTCAAGATGATGTTTAGCACAGAGTTATACATGCATAGCTACCGCTGAGGAGAGTGAAGGGCCAACAGAGAGCACCAAAGCTGCCTACAATGAGCAGAGGGAGAATGGCTGGAACACAGGGGTTCACTTATTATACAGGCCAGAGGGTACTCAAGGAAGGCAACTGCAAAGCAATCAACAGAGAAAAAAGCACAAAATAAGAAGAACATAATATTGGCAGAGTCAAAGGAGAAGTTTTTTGGAGGATGAAGTGCTAAACAGTTAAGAAAATGGACTACAGAAAACTCAACTGGGCTCATGATTTAGAGGGGGCATTAGTCACCCTGAAAAAAATACATTTCAGTACAGCAACATGAATAGAAACTGGACTGAGAAAGAATGAGCTAGTATTGAAGAATGGCATGCAGAAAGTAATCTAAAAACAAAATTAGATCTCTAGTTTCCACATTGAGTTAGAGAGGTCACATAAACCATAACATGACCAGGAAAGGTATAATAATCTCTGCAGAAAAGAAGCTCTGAAAATGGTCTATACACCATGCTCTGTATTTTGAACGTCATTTTAATGGCAGTGCAAAAAGCAGCAGCAGGTATGAGAGCTACAGTTTTAAGGCAAAGTGACCACAGGACAATCAGAAAACACAAGAAGCTGAGCACATGCAACTGTGTACAACACTGGGAAAACCTTTAAGGTAAAGAAAAATAAAATCCTAAACATATTAAGGGTGATTCTATACTAATACAAGTTGGTTTAGACAAACAATAGTTAGCTTGATAGATTATTAGAATAAATTTCCAATGGGTGAAATGCTGAGAGGAAGTGCCTCTAATTCAATGTGAGTTTCTAGAAACACTTCGTACAATGAGTTGCGCGGTCTTAGGCACAATTCCAGCAAGTCTCACTTTCCCTAGGTAATTTCTTGCTAAAGATTCCAAAACCAATTTTTATCTTTGGAACAACAAGATTTTATGGTAATGGGTAACATTCCCAGGATGTATGTGCACAAAATCAAAGAGGCAACATGTAATGCTGAAAACATTAACATCTGGACATCAGCATCATGCCTTTTGTGTTTTCCCATCAGAATCGAGAATGTCAGGGCTAATTACTTCTGCATCACCTTCTCCATTGTGTCACCAGAAGTTCTTTCATCCCCATCCCACTGCGATAAGTAACAGAACCTACTGAGGCAAATCGGAAAAATTAAGTGTGTTGCTTTCACATATTCTGAAATTCGGCTTTGGTGCAACTGTGTTTAGACAATCTATCTCTGGAAACTAGACAACTAAGAATCTATAATCTTGAGATGGGACAGAAACTAGGAGCCAAGAAACCAAGAAAAAATGAAGTGGGTGACTCTAAGCTTCACTGATCTCCTTTTGTGCTTGGCTGAGCAAATCACTTATCCTAAGCCTCACTACCCTTGTCTGCAAAATGGGCATAATATATCCTTTCAGAAGCTTTTGTAAGAACCAAATGAAAAATAATATAATAAAATATAATATAATTAATATAATATAATCTATAACCTGCCACAAAGCAGGACTTCAATACATAGTAATAATTTTGATCATTTTCTTCCATGAAGAATTTCCTAGCAGGAGAAAACGTGATTAGCTGATGTGAGTATTTTCAGAGGGGGCTGGAAGAAAAAGCTACTTGGCAGTTATATGTCTCACAGTAAATTTCTAAACCAGGCAGAGCAACAACAACCACATTTCAGAACCATCAAACCTGAAGAGTTCACCTGGACTACCCACAGTGACCCTATCCTAAGATTACATTCCCAGGAGAGAGGTCAGCTGTCTTTGTCTCTCTCACTGCAACAAATGCTTAAAACCACAGTTTACCCATCTTCTGATAGCCCTATAGCTCATCACCGTAGTGGGTGCTCCACAAAGGACTATTAATTAATTGATTCTCAGAAACCTGTTCAACCACTTTCTGTCTGACAACAATAGAAGTATCTTGCTAAGATGTATCACAATTGACCCATTCAAGAAAAGGTTACTCTGGCTTAGAGTAATAAAGCCTGGTAATAAAATGCGCTTTGAAAAACAAACCTGCTGGCTTCTTGACTGATGGAAGGAAATCGTAGTACAGTCAGATTCTAATCAAGGCTAACAAGTCCATGGAGAACCAAAAATGACAGATAATATAAAGAACATTTATAATTGACTTTGACAGGCTCTCATCACTTCATGGTAACAAAATGGAAATGCCATATATAGGGATTACTTTTTAAAGACTTTACTTGTAAACTTCTAATTGCCTTTGACAGATATTGGGTGATTCCTTCTGTGACTAATTTCCCTCATAATTAAATTTGGCCTACGTGAGCATTAAACTCAGTTCTGAGGCCTTAAGTACACCTCTGCAAGCAGCGAGTAGTTTGAGGAAAGGTGACGGGGCTATCAAATAACAACTTGGGAAAATCAGCATGAAGGGATCAAGAGTCAAAGGCCTATTGAAAGAAAACCCAAGAGAAAGTCTGGTAATTTCCCTGACATTTTTTTTGCTTTGTTTTTTGTTTTGTTTGTTTTTTTGAGTTGGAATCTCACTCGGTGGCCCAGACTGGAGTGCAGTGGCCGCTCCCGGCCACCACAGCCTCGACCTGCTGGGTTCCGGCGATCCTTCCACCTCACCCTTCCGAGTAGCTGGAATTACAGGCATGCACTACCACGCCCGGCTGATTTTTTTGATTTATTGTAGAGATGAGGTCTCACTGCCCAGGCGGGTTTCGAACCCGCGGGCTCAGGCAATCCACTCACCTTAGCCTCCCAAAGGCACGGGATTACAGGCTGAGCCACCGAGCCCGGCAATTTCCCTGACTTTAATGCACTCTGGCCCCAACAAAGAAGGAATACGCTGACCTCTAACCTGTGACTCTTGCCCATATTTAGTCACAAGTTTAGTTTTCGATTCTCTTGCTCTCACTCCCTGGTATAAAAATCATGAGGCAAAGGCAGATACACTTATCTGAGGTAGGACAGGTCATGGGAACAGACAGCTAGCTAGTAGTAAGGCTTGTGAGATTAGACTACCTGAAGAGAAGGAAGAATGGAAGCCCAAAAGGAAATGAGGGCCAGATGGGACAATGCTCCAGAATAACCCAATTTCCTCAGGGAGGGACCCATCCTCAGAGGGAAGGAACCATGATGGAGGAGGAGATGGAAATAGGAAGCAACCACAGAAATGTCAAGTAGGCTGGCCATAGCAGAGAAAGAAGCAAACTGTTATAAAGAGTAAGCAACTGTAAGAAGCAAAATCAATACTCCATGCTGAAATATAGAAGACATAAAATCATCTTCTGTACTTATCTTCCTCACTCAATTCTCCTGAACTTCTGCAGTCTTGAGATAGCCTAGGTCCACTTCATTTTAGGGCACACCTACCTATCTTTCCACCCAGTCCTATAGTGCCTTCCATTAGCCCTTGAGTCTTCCTGGATACTAGGAGAGGGAGAGATGGGATAGTGTGTGTGTGTGTGTGTGTGTGTGTGTGTGTGTGTGTGTGTGTGTGTGTGTGTGTGTGTTAGTGTGTTTAATCATTAATTAAGTCAACACATGATGTACCTGACCCTGTACCACGCATAAAGGAGTTGAAGATGCAAATGAAATATCGTAGCCTTCTCTTTAAGTGGCTTGATTTGTTCTGAGAAGCTAAGTAGTATGAGGCAAGTGCATGAAATTTAGACTCTGAGGATTGGGTTCAAATCCTGCCTATGCTACATAATAGCCATTCAATCTTGAAAAAAATCAATTAACCTCCCTTGGTCTCATCTGTGAAATGGACTTAATAACATAACTACCTCACAGGGTTTTCAAAAGCATCGATCAGGTGCCAGGCATTTCTATCCTTCTAGCATTTCTAAAGAAGTGCCTTACCCCTTTTTCCATAGTTTCCTCCATTCTGTAACCATCCTGAGATGGCTACCATGAATTAAGGACAGGGGAGAGGACAAAAAAGAGGTGAAGGAGAAAAATGTCTCTAATAATATATTCAGATCCCAACTTGCGGGGTTTCTTTAGTGATCAAATCCTGGAGACTGTAAAATTAATTTCTTCTCATTCAGTGAGTCCCTGAGTATGAAAGATATGATAAACTTTTTTTTACATGAAACTGGAAACCAGGAGCTGTGCCTACATCTGCCCCGTAGTCCTCTTGATAAAGACTTTCCAGAGCGCCTAAGAATAGTGTGATGCTGACTGATTAGTGCCGGAACCATGCATGGGTTTGGGCTGGGGCAAGGTAAACAAAGGCATGCAGGAGAAATGAGAAAGTCACACAGCTCACTCAAGCAGCAGGCAGGGCTTGCAACACATTCTAAAGTAAAAAGGGCAACTCACCAACGTGACTGAAGAGGTCATATGGCCAAAGGGGGAGGAGGGAGAAATGGGAACACACCAAATAAGAGTCCACACCCAAATCATAGACAATACGATGCATAGGAGAATTGCTTAAATCAACAAAGAACATTCTCCAAATTACACCAAGCAACAGGACCTGGCTGAAATTTAATGAGCTGAAAGCACATCAGGATGTCACAAAGGTGTTCAAGTGAGGTGGAATGCTAACAAGGAGGCGCTTTTCATGACTTCGGCTCTTTCTATTTTCAATTATATTTAACTAATACATATACAAATCTCCCAATTGGTTCAGCCCTTACACAATACAAGTTTTAAACCACCAGTTCCAACTTTCTGACCTGAAAAAAAATGAATTTTCCAGGAACAAGCTCTTTCCATGTAATTAAATGCTATTACAAACAACTAAACTTTCTCTATTTTGCAATTCTCAATAAATGAAGATTTTTTTGACACATACTGTACATTACTCTTAGCACACCTATTAACTATCTCAGAATATTTGCATTTCATTAAACCCAGGATTTCAAAAAATGTAACTATAGCCTGGGAAATTTTAGAGTCTTAATTATTATATTAAAGTACTTACTGACAAGGTAAGTTGGATTTCTTTATGATTGTAATTTTTGGAAATCCTTTTCTTCAAAGCTTTTACTGCATCTTTTGGCCTATGGCAATAAATACAGTGAAATCACCAAGTTAGCCATTGCTGAAAATAAGCAGTCTCTGAAAAGTAACATGCACCATGGAAAGAGGAATGGCTTAAAAGCAGAAGACCAAAGCCTTGGTTCTCCTGTGTGACCCTAAGAGAATGACTTAAACTTCTTGAATCTAAACTTCCTCATACATAGGTATGAGGAAAGGGAATGTCAAAGGATTATAACAAATTAGGTTAGCTTTCAATATTCTACAATATTATGTTACAAGGTAAGAACTTTATAAGTAGAGGGTTTTTACTTTATAAGATTTCCTTTTTGTATTAGTACAAAAAAATTGGTATCAACAATAAAAAGGTTCACAGAGGAACTAAATATGATATAAACAGGATTACATGGGAAACTATAAACACTCAGAAGTATGAACCATAAGCACTTTCCATTGATTTATAATCAATAATTAAGTATAATGTTTTCTTCAACACAAACTAGACTAAATTTATTTTGCTGTCAGCTATCACCTTAATACGCACAGGAAAATTACCCGAATAGCATCTTGCATAATAATTTGCGATGGACTAAATTCAAACGAGTTGGTTCTTCTTAATGACATTTTTGTATAACTTCAATTCTCTAACGTTAAAAAAGTATAGGAAAAGACAACACAGCATAAACATGAGTTGGCAGTCAGGAGAAAAAAATTGTCCTGTGACAGGGAGGAAAAAAGACTGCTAGATTGTATCCTGGTTAATAAAGGCAATTACCCAGAGAGGGGTCACCACCAGAGTCACCTAGCTTCTTGCTAATATTTTTCAGTTACATAAAATGCTGGCAATCAGAGCTGGAGAAATTCCTAAAGAAGGAAACAATCTGTCTCTCCCTCTTTTTTAATCTTTTCAAAGAAGGAATTTGAGCCTCACAGAAACAAAATTTGAAACTCTTAAGGAAAAGGTGAAGCGGAGAAGAGAAAAATTATAGAGGATTTGCACATACTCCAATGCTGAAGCAAGCAGCTGCCCCGATATTTCAACCTGACACGTCTTCAAAAGGTAGAGGGTGCCTAATTGATGAGGAAAACATTCAACAAGAACATCAACGCGTCTGCAAGAGAAATTGTGCTGTACTTCTGATGCTTATCAGAGGCAAATGTATGGACACCACACTGTACTCACCCATCCTGGGCAGTGTTAATCATGTCACAGATATGCATGAACTGGCCCCAATCTTCAGTCTGAACTCCAGCAAATGTAGCCTTTTCTGCAAAGAAAAAGCTATTGAGTTTGAGCTACAAAAGAATAAAAAATGTCTGGTATTCTTGAAATTATCTGCCTTAGCATTAGCAAGTCCCATGAAGTTTATATTACCAAAAAGCAAAGTGATTTTTTTCTGAACTAGCCCCAGCCATTTAGGAATCAATCAGAACCCAAGTTCGGAGTGCTGCCACTGCAACAGTAATGAGTGACCTATTAATACAGACTTCAAGCATAACACCTGGCCAAGGAGCCAGGACAAGCTGGCTAGACCTCCGTCTGCCTGGCTCGCAGAAAGGGAAACTTCAGCTTACAGAACAGTCACCTACCTACAAGGGGAACTGTACAGTGCTAAGTATTTTATCTTATGTAATCAGATTTAACCCACTGTTAGAGATGATGAAACAAGTTCAGAGAGGTTAAGGAAATTACCCCGCCAGCATACGGTGGAACTAGCTTTCAAATCTAGGTTGTTCGGTCTCAGGGTTTGTTTTTAAAAATCATGTATTCTTGAGGGGAGAAGAGAAGGTGGAGCATTGAGAAAAAGAGAGAGATATCAAAACTACTAAGCAAGGTCACTTCTGGCACCTCAACCAATGAAAGCTGCACCAGGCTGACTTCAGTGCTCCTGTACTTGGAACCCCATCATGAAATAATGCGTTATCTTTCCTTCTCCAGACAATCCCTTTAAGAATACAAAATGTTATCTGGAAAAGTAATAGAACAACCCATGTGAATGAGCTTAGCCTCTTCCTATGAGAAAGGAGAAAAAGTCCCTAAACATGAAAACATGGGATGCTGAAATGGAGAAAAAAACAAAAAGGATAAAGAAGAGGAAGAAAGAATGAAGGCTTGGTTGGGGGAATCCCAAAGTTTAGCTTGCTGCCAATCAAGGAAAGAGCTATTTGAATTTAGCACTGAAGGACAAAGCTGACCAATCTTGTGCTGCTAGGCAAATACTGTTGTTTCATCTGCCAGATTTTCAATTCCATTCTTTGCTCTTCCTCCTAATTTTCCCACCTTCCTAGAAAACTCCTATTCACCCTTCAAAAGCCACAGCAGAATTAATTTCTCCCTTTTCATAAGTATGTGTTGTGCATTTTTCTTGTTTTGCAAAGGAACTGTATAGTAGTTACCACAAAATTGTCTGTCTTCTCTGCAAGAAAGTGAGATCCCCTAAGGTGTAAGACCATATCTTACCTTTACCTCACCAGTTCCTGGTCCAGGTCCAGGAATGCAGTTGGCAGTTAGTCAATGTTTGTAGAATTAACTAATCAATTGAATTGCTGAAGTTTCTTTTGCCTGTGAAGATGCAGTCTGACTGTTTCTGCTCAGGACTTGTTCTAATACCAATATTCAACAAGGTATGGTCATCAACAGTTTGGTAAGCATCTCCTCCTCAATGGTAGCTACTCTTACTATCTTGTAAAGATGTAAAAACAGGGTTCAGGTTAAAGAGTATGTCCGATGTCAAAGAAGTTACCTGAGAGGCAACCAAAACTCTTCAAATCTGAACCTCTTTGCTATGACTACCAGGTTCTCACGATTTCATCACCCCACTAAGTTCCCGACATCATCATGACTTGCCTGGCATTAATATGCATTCACACCACACCCGATTTCCAAGGGAGGAATCAGGGAAAAGACGGAGAAGTGAGCTGGTGCTGGTTAAGAGTAACTGGCTTCTGCATACATTATTCAGAGTACAGCCATGAGTAGGAGAATCAGTTAGGTCAATGCCAGTGTGATCCGCCCCAAATGGATCCTCTGTTCCCCTCTTCTTTCATTCTAATGCCAAGAAGTATTTTCATTCTCTTTGTTTATCCACACAAGTAATCCAGGTGGTATACGCTTGGTGCCAGACAAAACTGGTTTGGAGAGACCTGCCCCCACCCTACAGTGAGGTCACATCACTTAACCTCCAGGAGCCTTATTTTCCTCATCTGTAAAACTGGCATAACAATACCATGCTCTCAGTGTCTGCACTTTATGTGTAATTTCCCCCTGGCCTACAAGTTCCTGGTGTCTCCTTGCAGAGGCCCAAACTCTCCAAGCCTGAATCCTGTGGTTCACCTGTTTGGTTCCACTCCCCAGGAGTCAACAAAACGCAGGTACACTTTAAAAAGTGGAGTTTTAGAGTGAGTCTGCCAAGAAAGACAAAAGGGGGCGGGTGGAATGCGGGTGACCTGGGAAAGTTGAGGGGGGAGGGGAAGGATTTCCTCCAACTTGGACCAACTCCATGCTCCGCGGGCCGACAATGGAGTCAAAGCGAGAAAGGATCCCGCGCTCCGCAAAGCCCGCCTGGGAGTCTCTCCCCGCGCCTCCTTACCTATGAGGTGGCCCACCGAGGTCGCGTAGGGATCCCGATGACTCTTGCCAAACGCCATGGTGGCCCCAGAAAGCCGGCCCCAGGAAATCCGCCTCCACCGCTCGCCGGCTCCCGACTCCACCCGCTCGGTGCTCTTGGCTCCTCCTCTTCACCCGAGCGCTTCCCGGGCTCCGGCGGAGGCGGTGCGTGTTGCCTGGCCGCCACTGGGCGCGGGCAGCCGACGCG